TGCTCAAAACTAGAAAATCGTTGCACCAAGTGAAATTGATCCCTAAACGATTCCAAAATGTTAACTTCCACAGCGTTTAGTCGAGATTGCTCCATTGACCTAAAGGAGTGTTTAATTTACACGATATCTTTTTGATATATTTCTTCTTCGTATTTTCAAACGGCCTTTAAGGAGATTGCGACTGACTTTGAATAGCCCCACGAAATGCTGGCTAACATATCAATTTGGCCCTCTGTAACTATGGGCTTTTATAATGGTAAGTTTAGCAAAGAGGCCGATTAAACGATAAACAATCAAGTGCTAGAAACTGCTTGGCAATTTCTTATTTCCAACACAAGCGTGGATTTGATGTAATATTTAAAGTATTATACTGCCCTTTTTGATGTAATGATTTAGTAATAATCCAGGTCAAAAGAAAATAGCGGACCCCCAATAATTTATTTTTTGAAATATGATATTGATGTATTTTTAATTAAAACCCTTAAATTTTTCTTTAACCAAATTGAAGTAGACTTTAAGCTCGCTTTTTCAAATTGAAAAAAAGTTATAGAAATCGTCTTTCTGTGAAAGGGATTCCTTCTTATTTTAATTTACTTGTACAAGGTGCAAAGGTATTTTAATTTACCCTTTGTGATCGTAACTCAAACTGGCATAATCTTCAGTTATTTAGAAAATATATAACCCAAATTTCTGTGAGTTTATGATTTTAATAATGGAGTGGAAATTAGCAGTCATGATTACAGGTCAGTTGGAAAGCTAATTCTCTTCTATAGAATAGTATTTCAGCTAACTTTTAATAAACTCTTTCATAAGCTTTTTTTTACCAGTTTTGTCGTTCCAATAGCTGTTGGAAATAACCAAAATTTGAAATACGACGGTATATAAAACTTTTGGTACAAGAATTGAATATTTTTTGACCTTGTAAAGGTGGGAGAAATCAATGTGACAGTTCTAAGCTGAGCGTAAGTGTTTCAAATCCCCGATTTTATCGAAGCGTTTCCATGTATAATAGGTATGTAATAAATAATTAAATTTATGCTATTCATGTTACAGCTATCACAAAAGTAGTGAAACTCTCAAAATTGATATTATAACATTTGTGGGTTATGCGATCAAAATAAATGTGTATTCCGATTCGGTTTTCGACATCCAAATATTAGGGTTTTTTAAATAATTTATTTTTTTATTTACTAATTTCATTTCATAAATACATAAAGAAGAGATAAAATCATGTATGCGAAATTTACAGTACAGTGTAGACCATATTTTATATCATCGAAGGACTGCAACACATCTTGGAAACAATACAAAAGATTTGTAAGGGACATGGATGGATCGAAAATAAAATGGATGTTAGTAAGCAAAAGGCAGCACCCAGGAATTCAACTATGTTAAAAAAACAAATAACAGAACACGTATATTCACACACCTACCTCGGACAATTGATATAAAGTGGGACCAGATTTGAGAAGGCTAGAGCATCCGTATTATTTCTCCCTCTATATGCTAAATATTGTCTGTTCTCTTTTGTAGGGTCTGGACCATGACTGAAGTACTAATGAGTAAGCTCGAAGCTTTTGTAATGTGAGCATATAGATGTATTCTTCGGATATCCAAAGTGGAAGTTTTGAGCCGAATTGGAAAGAAAGATGAGTGAAAACACGAAAATTAAAATAAATCAGCCAGGTTATGGATATGATATTGATAATTCAGGGAAACATGAATAGCAAAAGAAGACCAAAAGGAGTTACTCTTGGCTGCATAATCTGCGAAAGTGGTTCGGGCTTACATCTATCCAATTGCTTAGAAGTGTTGCCAATCAAATTGGGATTAATCTCCAGCGTCCTTAACGGAGAGAGCACATAAAATAGAAGAAGGGAGTGTTGGTTATAAAAAACGTAATACCAGAAAACGTGTAGCTAAATGTGAATTTGAAGGTCCGAAGACACAAAAATTATATCAAGAATTTTTATGCCATCCTTATCAAATACAGCTTTACCAAGAACTTCATGGAATAAAAGCGCAAAATGAGAAATTTTTGAACTATTTCTAAATACCATAGGCAGTTAGATAGAATGAAACATTTATTTATTTTATTATTTATTCATATAAAAATATAGAGGCCCTACGGAATGCTGATAAGACAGGAACTGATGAAGCAAGAAATTAAAATGTTGAGAAGAAGGTCTATTTAACATGCGCATGTGCGAGATTTAAATTCGGTTTTTAACCTTTTTGCATTTAGCAAGCAACATGGCCGCTGACAGATCGACAGTAAGTTTGGATGCGGCATTTTTACGGCAGTATTTTATCAAAATATGTTCAGCTTCCATTAAATATTTAGGAAAAAGGAGTTAAGTGTGAGGATATACCAGGGCAGCGCCAAAATTTCCCGGCCTGAATATGAAAGAAACAAAGTAGAGTAACAATTTTTTATTGTTTTTCAATATAATCTCCCTTAACACTTCTGATCTGTCTGGTGCAACCCACACTCTAAAATGGCAGCTTGCGCAACACCAGCAGTATGGACAGGTGCATTATCGTGCAAAAGACTTGCGCCTCTGGTCAATTTTCCTCGACGTTTTACACGTATGCAGTCTCGCAATTTATGTAGCAATGTTGCGTAATATTTACCATTGACAGTGGTATTAGTTTCTTTAGAATCTATCAAAAGAATTCCTTCACAATCCCAAAAGATCGTGACCATCACCTTTTTTGTGACTGGCAGACTCTGAATTTTCTTGGAGGTGCTTCACCCTTACGACGCCACTCCATTGATTCTTTTTTCGATAGAGAATCATAATAGAGAACCATAGCTTCATTTCCCGTCACAATAGTTTCTATCACAGGCTTCAGTTCCGACCCACAGAGTTCCAAAAAAGATCGCGCACACTCGACACGGCGTTGTTTTTGAATAGTGAATTGTTTTGTATCAGAAAGCTTAGTAATTTCTGAGATTTCCTTGACCTTTAAACGTCGATCACTCAATACCACCTCTTCCACAATTGCAACAATATCTTCCGTTATGACTTCCACTGGTCGACCAGTTCTTGAATCATCTTCAAGGGACTCCTACCCCATTCGAAAACGTTTTGCCCATTCTTTCACTACAGAATACGAAGAATAACTTTGGCCGTACACACAAGCCTTGCTAACCCTTCTTTTATCAAAAACTTTATGGCTGCTCTATACTCAATCTGCGTTATTTGCGACATTTTTTCGGACACGTCTTGTTTAAAATGCTGTTAATAAAAAACTATTTGACTCAAGACTTTTTTTCTTCGCAAGCTACTAAGACATGTATTTAACGGAATACTTTTACCTTGATACTGGAGCTGTATCGATGATAGGCAGGGAAATTTTGGCGCTAACCTCGTATATTGAGCAAATTGTGGACTAGTGGGTGAAATGTGCTCTGAAAATCATTACCATCACAACGAAAATATCATAGCCACCCAAGTCCCAAAAATTTTGAAGGAATTACGTAATCTGGATGTTTTTTAACAGTCTAGTTTTTCAAATTTTTTTGAATGTCAAAATTTATTAAATGGAAAAGTATTTTTAAATAGCGCTTTGGTGGGTATTTTTTTATCTTTTAAGGGGTGTCATTTAATTGGATAGCAATTTAGTACATTAATTCAGGTTTTTTAAAATTTCCTTTTAACTTTCTCGTTGATGGTAAACTTGATAATATTAGGTCCATCCGTTTTAATGTCCTTTTATTAATTCCTTTTTACAAAATAAACGCGTTTTACGCAAAGCAAGCGTAAATCCATTTGTACCCCACCCACCCGCAAAAATGGGTTTTGCAATTCGGAAGAGATACAAATTAAGAATAATAAGAATTTTAAAAGATGGAATTTTAAAGCATCGCAAATTACCGAAATAAATTAAGCCTTGCTAACGAAGCGAAAAGAATTCTAAAAAAAGTCAGCCGGGACACGCTCGCAAAGTAGGCGCGAACGCGCCAGCGCCGACGAACAAAAGAATGTCGCGGGGGGCGGGACCTTGGTTGACAGGTCACTTTGGCGCGTGATTGATGTCACTTGTTTCGTCGTGAATATTTATGGTGGCGTGATGTCAACTTGTGCCGAGTAAAACTCGGATTTTCGGTAAAAGCCTCTTGGTCGCGGGATCAATGCGGGGGTGTGCTTTATATATGTACTTTATATACGGGGAATCCCGTTTTAGTTGGCCAACCTGAGTACACAGTTACCTAAAACTTTGAACGTGCGTGGCTTGTATGTTCCACTCGGTTTACACTAATTTTGTTTGTGACAAATAAATGGTTAATAATTCATGGCGATCCACTCTTGGTGGGTTGGCTGAGTCTACGCTTCAAAAAATATTTACAACAAAATTAATTTTAAAGCTGCAAATTCCCTTAGTGTTACTTATACATGAAATGAACAGTATGGGCCCTCGGATAGAGCCTTGAGGTACGCCGTGAGAGATATTAACACATTTTGCGTCATTTGGTTTTGATTTACAGTTATTAACTATGTGTTGTTATGGAATGAGTAAGTAACCACTGGGTTTAGTAGATATGTGGAATTTAAATTTATTATGTTCAAATTATCACTTATTTGAACTGTACGGCATAACAGGAAAGCAGAAAAAGTGTTAAAGTTGTGCTATAGTATTAATATAATTGAGGATCTCTGCATGTTTTTGACACTAGGGGCCAAAACCAAGGGTAAGCAACTATTTGCTTGCAACGTTTACATTCCCACATACGCTACTTTAAATAATTTTGTTGTGTTCCTTACTAAATTGGAAAATATATGCACTATAATCCTAAATAGCAAGTTCTTAATAATCGGGAATTTTAACGAACTTTAACTAGGATTGGGCCAATTTATTCTAGCATTGTCGCCCTCGGGCACCATAGTACCTTATACTACCCTTTTCTGTGACTATTTTACTTGCTAGAAAACAGCACAGTAATATAAATAATAATAATAATTTATTATATTTAGTAATTTCTCGTAATATTTTAGCCACTGTATGTGAGAGTCACCATCCCCCAGTACCGAAGGACACACACCATCCTGATCTTGAAATAAACATTAGTCTTAAGGTCACTAAATATCGTAAATGTAACTCCTACACTATGACAAACCTTAATAAATGAAAAACTCGATAATGTTCAGTAGGAAAATGTATAAGCATGATATGACTGAATTGTATGGTTATATATGATGGTTATAAACCTATAAACACGAGTGAGTTTTTTTCCTATTTGATTCACTCACAACACCAGGACTTGCTGTGGAGAAAAAGAGACAGCAAAACAAAAATGGCAAAGGTATAAAAAAGGTAAGAATTATTCATTATTTTCGAAACTAAGAGAAGATTTTAAAGAAATTTTCTTCAGTTTGTTGTTGTCAATGCTAAAAAATCTCTTTTTACTCTTTTTTTTGTTTCGATGTTGCACTTTGTTTTCCGGTTTCTATTTATTGCCCATGATTTAAAGGTGAAAGAAGAGATTCGTTCACATTTAGATATATTAGAGCTTCAGAGCGATCTTGACAGATTTACTGATTATTGTAGAAACAGATTATTTTTAAATCTTGATAAATGTCGATATATTTTATTTACAAAGAAAAAGGATTTTCTACATATTAACTTAATGTTTGATAAATAGATGAAAAGAGTTAAGCAAGTAAAAGACTTGGTAATTGTTCTTGACTCTCAGTTATACTTTGAGGCTCATACCGAAAGTATTGTCAAAAAATGAGAAATCTGCCAAACCAAAGCGTTCAACAAGCATCAGTCAGTAACATTCGTGTGTAATAGCATGATAAGGTCTGTTACTATGTCGCCCATCCACAGTTTGGTATTTATACTAAATATATCATCATATCATAACACTTTTTAACAACTTAAACTTTAGATATAATACGTACGAAGAAAACTAAACAAAACTTAATATTTTACAATTTGAAGTCGCTTGAAACTCGAAGAAACTGTTGTATATAACCTTGCGGATTCTTCTTTTTGATAAAATTACTTGAGCATTAACGCTAATCCATATCAGGTGCGAACGAGACTGACGTTTTCTATTGAGCGATTTAGCTCTAATTGCTTTTCTAACTCTCCTGTAATAACATGTGTTCGGCATTATAATAATTGTGTTTTTCAAAACAGCATAGATATAGATAGGTTTAATTTAAGCCCTAGTTTATTAAAAACAAACGTATATTAACTTCTTTAGCCCCCTTTATTTACATCTAACCTTTGCTTTGTTCCAATGTTTCAATGTTAAAATAAAATGTAAATCAACAAATATAGGCATTATAGGCGAAATTATAAGGGGTGTTTTTTTTCGATGTATAGAAATTTAAGTTGCAATAAAACAACGATGGAATATTCGATTGACATGAATTTTATTTATCCAAAAGATAATCTTGTGGCATTACATTTTAAATATGATTTCTGGAATATGACCGCCACGGCTGGCGCGGATGTAGTCCAATCTGGACGTCCAATTTTCGATGACTTTTTCCAACATTTGTGGCCGTACATCGGCAATAACACAGCGAATGTTGCCTTCCAAACGGTCAAGCGTTTGTGGCTTATCCGTATAGACCAATGATTTTGCATAGCCCCTCAGAAAGTAGTCTAGCGGTGTTAAATCACAAGATCTTGGAGGCCAATTCACAGGTCCAAAACGTGAAATTAGGCGGTCAACAAACGTGTCTCTCAATAAATCGATTGTGGCACGAGCTGTGTGACATGTTCAGGAATGAAAGAGTTAGTAATCATAGCTCTACACCGATCACCATTGACTGTAACGTTCTGGCCATCATCGTTTACGGACCAATGATTCCACCAGCCCATAAAGCGCACCAAACAGTCAGATTTTCTGGATGTAACGGTGTTTCGACATACACTTGAGGATTAGCTTCGCTCCAAATGCGGCAGTTTTGTTTGTTGACGTAGCCATTCGACCAGAAGTGCGCTTTATCGCTAAACAAAATTCGCTCATGAAAATCGGGAACAACGGCAATCTCGTTTTGGACCCATTCGACGAATCTACGCCTTACTTGATGATCGTTTGGTTATTCATGATAAATTTCCAAACCAAACTGAGAATAAATCACTTGACAGCTGTTAAATCGGTCGCCATCTTGAACAGTAACTCCAACTTAAAGTTCTATACATAAAAAAAACACCCTTCACAATATATTAAATTGACACACTTTAAAATTAACATTTAATATCCATATTTACTAAAGAGGTGAGTAGTATTGTATATGGTATAGTAACATTTAGGTATTAATAGTGATTTTAGTTTTTTTTAAACAGTGATAATTTAACTTTTTCATCCTGTAAGCTCATGTCGATCTTTTTCATTGTTGAGATAAATTTATTGCTAACTTTCCCGATTTTATTAAATAGTATAGGCCTATATTGTGTTGAATGGCCTGTAAAATATAAATAAATAAACTTGTCCACTCGGTCACTGCAAATATACATTTTAAAGTTTTCCCAGGTTCCCCTCTGTTCTCCTGATGGCCAGAACGGCGTAAACTAGGCTTTTGACATTGCGTCAACCGCCGGCGTTCTTCCACGAGTCACCCAAATTATTAGACGGATTATAATTACCGCTCCCCGCTGCCCCCCGCCAATAATTTATCCCTAGTTTATCAGCAGCTCGGTAATTCGTTCCGAAACAAAACGCGGGGAGCAAAAAAAAAAAACAGCGGCGGAGCGGGGAACGCGGTGGAGGAGGAACAAAACGGTTTTTGGCCCCGCACCAAACTGCCCCGGGGGTGGTGTTATGTTGGTCACACACGAGGCGTCCCACGGGACTCAAAATACTGACAGTATTTTATATATCGCGCTGCCCGGGCCGATAGTTTACCTCGAATTTATATATCTATTTCGATGATCTATTACGCTATTCCGCAGCCCGGAATTACCTTTATTGCTGTCAGAATTTATGGTTCCGGCGGCGGAACGGCGAAAAAAATGCTAATTCGTGACCCGGGCTAAGCTATCCGGGGGTGTTCTCTATCGTACGGTTAATTTGTGGAACAGGATGCGTTTTGTTTATTATTGCGCTCAAGCGATTTATTATGGCGGCTCCGTTTTGGCCCCGTGACAAAATTCGCGGTCTCTTCATTACGGCCATACAGAGTGGCGCAATAATGTGACAAAGCAATTCTTCTTCTGTCCGCTTCCTTTCCTCAAGCTCCTATCTAATTGCGGCCTTGGAAATCGTCAGCATCACCCGAAAAGTTTGAAAAATTATTTAAAGGCTGTTTTTGGTCGGAAATCATGTCATATAGCATGTAAAATGAGAGTACTGTATTCTTTATTCTTATAAATATTTCAAAATAAAACTAAACAGTAGAATTGTGCCGAGTCGCTGTTTCGGTGAATCGAGTCGACTCGAGTCAGTTTATATAGTATTCGAATCATGACTCGAGTCCGGTACTCGAATTCTATGTTTAGTATTCGAATATGACTCGAGTTCGGGCGGTCTAGAGTCTAGTAACTCGAGTCTGGAAATTCTAGTCCAGAGGGTTAAGCATTGACACAATAATAATGGGTAAATCAATATTTTTAATGAAAGATAATTATAAATATTAAATAAAAACAAAGAGCATAGGAATTCTAAGGAGATAACTAGAAAAACATAGAAAATAGTTAAAAAATTTCCCAACTTTGAGTCTAGATAATATTCTATTAATTTGAGACAGCTTTAAGCAATTCTTTTAATACTAGATATAGTAAGCATTCTAATCATTTTTTTTAACTTTACATTAAGTAGGCACACAAACTCAATAGCTTAGAATACAAAGTTTGGTAAGGTATCCACCTAAACTATCTAAATGAAAGTTATTTGAAATAACTGTTCAGAAACAGTATTTGGTCAACCTTCTTGGGCTCCAGTCTATTGCGGCGTTGGTTGCATAAAAGTCCAGCCTTAGAGAAAACTCGTTCCGAATGAACGGAAGTGGGTGGAATGCATAAATACTTTAAAGCAATTTTATAAAGGCCGCTGTTGGTGATTTTGCGAAGTTCCCAAAATGTAAGTGGATTGGCTTTTCTAGTAGCTCTACGTACTGTTTCACCTTGATGATTGCTGATGTTGTGGGGTTTTCCATGCTCGAAAATTCCAATACCTTTTTATCTAGATGCTCCCATAAATTCTCGCCAGTCCCCTCTGAAGTTATCTGCTGGGAAGCTGAAGATGAAGTTGTACGTGTTTCCAGACGTGAGGTAGATGACAGTAGAGATCTATTAGGTACCTGGAATTGAGCTTGATATTCCTGTGTTTCCAACATCATCAACTCGTCAATAACAAATTTTTGAGCATTATCTGCATTTGTCTCGACGCCAAAACCAGCTTTTTTAAAACTTGGATCCATGAATGTTCCTTCAGCAACAGTTTTATTGATCTCATGACCGCCAAATCTTCTATCGAAAACATCCAGTAATTTTATGTTTAACCTGCTGGCGACTTCGGAATAGGAACCGCAACTTCTTAGTACCGGTTGTACTCCTCGAATAACGTTGGATATTGCTCGCCAGATATAACACCCGTCATTTTTTTTAAACACAAAGGCACTCGTGTACCTCGATCCATTCGTCAGCGTTATCAGCATTTAATTTGTAAAATTCTCCAACTTGTATTAATTTTTAAGAGTATTTTGTGGTAGATTTTAACAAGCGTTTCAAAATTTAGTAAAATATTAGGATGTAACAAGTTACCCATTACTGTTATTTACACCACTTTTATGGGGAATATAATCTATTTTAAAATTTTGTTGTTTGTGTGTGTTTATTAACTATATCTGATTGCAAATATACATTTTAATTTTTTTTTAAATAGATCGTGCCACATTAATATGCATTGATTTCATATTCTGTTGTTTTGGTTAGTTCATGAAATATTATGCTGTCAAAAACAAACTAATTTCGATAATGAATGTCAATAAATGACTAACCCCTTAAACCGGAAGTAATATAAAACAATTAAAAATGTCAATAAAAGTACAAAAAACTTACTAAAACAGTTTTCATTTGTTAATCTTTAAAAATTAAAAAGTCTAGAGGCGCCCACCCGCTAGGGCCTTTCGATATATAATTTGAAAAACCATAAA